GTGGTCCATGCTTCAGAGGAGTGGCCGGCGATAGAAATACCGAGACTCTGCCGGGACAATGGAGGTGCAGAGGCCGTTCAGTTGATGGACTCTAGGAGAGGGGGGTCTCACGGACTGGGGAGTACCTTGAGTGCCCGCTGTGCCGAGAAGCTCAGGGTGGGGGGCTTTACCTGGTGTCGAGCGACACTGCATATGTCGGTACCCCTGGGTGCTAGTTATTGATGCATCGAGTATGGCCATATAGAGACTCTATGCTACTTTTAAGTCTCATCTGGGAACGGAGGCATGAGGGGAGGCATGAGACACATTCTTATGCAGTGATAGCTTCCACCTAAGACAGTCAGTTATCCTCCCGTAATTATCCCCCTCCCCCCCCCAATATAATTTTCTTATATTTTTATTTACTTATTTATTTTTAATTTTCATACACAACCTGGCCGCACGTGCATGGCCAAGATCCCTGGAGTCCATGAGAGGACTCGGCTAGGGATCTTAACGTTGGGCCCTATCCCTCATTCTCGGGGGCAAACCCCCCCCCCTTTTTTTTCCCTCCCATTTTTCCTTTCTTTTGTTTTTTAGTCAATCGCATTTTAACTGTACTGATCTTTTGCGGGAGATATGCACCGCTACAAACCTGACACACAGTTCGAGGCGTAGATCCACAACCCCAGCAACAGAATAGGGTAAATTATACAGCCTAGTCGATGACACCGCTTCTGGCACACGATAAATCACAAGCCATCACTGGCTCACAGATATTAACTGCCACACGAGCTACTTATGCTCTTTACTTGCTTTCCCGCACATTAAAGGCTCCATGTTTATAGCTGTAATCTCATATACTGATTTAGTTCTTAGTGTTACACTTTTTATTTGGACATACCAATCAGCAATACACCGTAGAATGGTACACGCTTCCAATGTTAGCTTGGCACTCAACCTGTATGACATCTTACGCAGTATCGAGTCCTAGTAATAAGACTTTCTTCCCGTTTTTCGCTAAACCTACAATGTATGCAGTCATATAATTTTTGTGTATTTAAATTAGTATTTCTGCCGGTACCTGAAGTTACCACTGATAGTGCTGCATATCTTACTCTTTTGGGCTACTGTACGCACAAGCACAATGAGGTACCGTTATTCTTAAGTTAAATGTAATTGCGTTCACCCCTCATACACACAATAATCAATAGTAATATTTTTGTATGTCATATATTAATGCAATACGTTCACACTGTCAACTGCAAATGTCGGCAAATTGATACGTTCGCCGTAGTTTACTTTTATTGCTGCGATATCTTTACGTTCTGCAGTCACATTATTGCACTCACGACTAACCTTACCGCATTGTAATACAACACTATTGTCGTACACCAGCTTATACTGTAACATGTCTGCATCTCCTACTGCACATGTATGCAAACTGCTCTGAATAAAATATGCCTTTTGAAATAAAATCACCATAGGTTCCTTGGTCCAGTGCAGCTACATTTGGAACCTGGAACTGTACAGAGTTATGGAAGGCCCTATCACAGATGCCACAAACATCTGTCTGCCATATGGTCACCTGTAGTGCTAATTCACCCTTGAAATCTGCAGCTCTATGAATAATATGGAAAGTGTCCTACGCGCTGAATGTGATATATTACAATAAGCTCCTAGTAAGACGACTTGCTGAATCATACCATTGTTGCCCGGTGTTCTCATTATGAATGAACTGCATGTGTCTGGTTTTACTTTGCAATTTATTTCCATACAGTAGGTCCATGACAGCACGTGCAATGTGTGCATTTAATAAACTCTCTTCTTGCTTCTTGGTTATTGCCAGTTGTGATGGTCATGTGCATTTTTTTAAATGTCCCAATATTTTGGCTTGGCTTCCCCCTTTGTGTGTGCCAGAAGCACATGACAGTCCTATGCCTCATGCCCCATGCCCCAACCCCTACCCTTTAACGTTAGGGTTTGGGGAGGGGGGGGGGAGGTTGTGCTGCTTAGATGCAATTATTAGCAGCTAACTAGACTAGAAAATTCAAAGTATATGTTGGGCCGGTATTGGCCCGTTCTTTTCTAATAAATTGTATAGATAAAGCATTAAGGAAACGCAAGGAACGCCCCACTGCCAAAATTAGAAAAAAAATAGAAATCACTGTTTAAAGGGACACTGTAGTCACTATAAGCATTTCATCTCTTTGAATTGGTTATAGTGCCTGGAGTGCCCTGGCAATGTCCCTCCATTCAGTGTTGCACCATGTTCGTGCAGTATGCCACAAAATAAGAGTCCCTGGCCACCCACAGTCCGGCCCCTTCAGTATGTGTAGCTAAGGCAGAGATTACACACTTCCTTGTTGTCATACCCATTCATACCGTCAGTTGGAACTCTGACAGGCTAAAAGCAGTCAGCTGACACACTCAGTCAATCACAGCTGCCTATTGCTGCTCAGGGTAATACTTCCTTATTAGCCAAAGCAGCACAGAGGGAATGGATTGCCGGGGACTCTTGTTTAGTATTAAAACATTAAAAGTTTAAAAACTGTTTAATACTGAAAGAAATGATGGTACCAGAGGACTCCAGACACTATAACCAGTTTAATGAGATGAAGCAGATACAGGGCCGTCTTTGAATTTGATTGGGCCCTGGGCAAGCATTTACCTGGGCCCCCTGACTACATATAGATACACACAAGAACATACAGATACACACAGACTACATATAGATACACTGACAAACATGCAGATACAAAGGTACACACACTGACTACATATAGATACACTGACACACAGATACACAACCTGACACACATGCAGATATACAGATACAAACACTGACACATACATATACACACACACAAACACAAATGGACAACATACAGATACAGAGACACATTCTGACAGACGTACTGACACAGACTCACACACAGACAGCCATACTGAAACACAAAGACATACTGAACCACACAGACACTGACGGACTCTCTCACACACAGACATACAGATACACTGACAGACATACTGAAACACACATACACACAGACACTGACTGACAGACATACATACATTTTGACACTCACACCATACTGAAACACACATACACACTGAACCACACAGACACTGACAGACTCACACACACAGACATACTGGCACACATACAGACATACTGAAACACACATACACACAGACACTGACAGACAAACACACAGACATTTTGACACACACAGACAGCCATACTGAAACACACATACAAACTGAACCACACAGACACTGACAGACTCACACACACACAGACATACTGACAGACATGCACACATACAGACATACTGAACCACACAGACAGACACACAAACATACACTGACAGACTCTCACACATACAGATACACTGACAGATATACTGGCACACTGACAGACATACATACTGACACACACACTCAGACACTCATGCAAAATTTGATAACCACCCTCCAGTTTCTTACCACTTCCTGGAGGGTGGCTTCCCTGGGGTCCAGTGGGCTGGCTGGGAGTTAAGCTCTCGCTCTCTCCCGGCCTGGCCCCCTCCGGAACAGCTCCTTCCTCCCGGGCGGCTCCTGTTTCTGTGGATATATCTTAAACAGTTTAGTTTGCAAAGCCCTCTCCCCTTTTTCTTTCAGTCTCTTCACAGGGTAATAGCATTGAGAAACCTCTGAAAATCTCCCTCTGTGTACGCACGCACGCCAGTGGTGTACACAAGCAGCATGCTGATCGGAGGTCTGTGGACCGGCCTAAAGTCTGATCTGAGGGTATGCAGATGGGGAGGCAATCAGGGTCACCTAGAGCATGCCTGCTACTCCCATTAGCTCAGGGGAGCTAACAGATAATATATTATAATTATTTCTAACAGAAATCATAACTTTATAAACTTATTACTATGGCTGGGATATTCCTCACCCATAAATCAAGCTGCACTATTGCTGAAGCAAAGCTGTGGTGGAACTGCTTGAAAGCTCTGGAGGAATAGTTTTGCTTAAGACTCTGTTAAATAAGCCTAACAAATAACTTCATCTGCCTAAACTGAACATCAGATTATATTTTGGATTTGTTTGGCCACCAGACTATGCACTAATGCTCACTTCTGTTCGTTCAAAAAACTTACCCTAATAACAGTGGAGGCTCATCCATAGGGTGCAATAGGGCAAACGTTTAAAAATAATATCAGGAAGTATTACTTTACTGAGAGGGTAGTGGATGCATGGCATAGCCTTCCAGCTGAAGTGGTAGAGGTTAACACAGTAAAGGAGTTTAAGCATGCGTGGGATAGGTATAAGGCTATCCTAACTATAAGATAAGGCTAGGGAGTAATGAAAGTATTTAGAAAATTGGGCAGACTAGATGGGCCGAATGGTTCCTATTTATGTGGGTATAGACAGAAATACCAGAAAAGATCACTTGTTACATTGTATGACATTCCAGCTTAATGTATTCAGTATCTCCATTCTAACAGTTTTAACAATTATACTGCGAACTGAAAATATCAACCCACACTCAAGCTCGACCCATCTCCTCTCTCTCGGCGTAATAGATGCTACCAAATCAACGCAAGCCATTTTGGAAATTCTGCAAGCATATGGCTGGTGTGCCTTCATTCTGTGACAATGGAAATTGTCAGATCAGGTTGATAGAGAAGATAGGAGAATATAGAGAAGAAAGTGCAACTGTTGGAAGTAAAGATGTTTTCCTCAGTACTGCCTTTGGTATTCTATTTTTTGTGTCATTCGGTTTAATTTCGTGCCCAAGACCTCTTCTATACACAAATTTCATTCATTTTTCTAGCCATAATTTGCACCAACTTGGTATGCTACAGAGTGAACGTATTTCTACTGAAAGAAAATGAATTATATATATTTATAAAGCCAGGGCTGTGTCTGCACTCCGCTTTGCATAAACCAGAATATTGTTTTGCCTTGCCTTTGTTTTGCCCACTTACAAAAATGAAAGAAGCATTCAGTTTATAAACTGGACTTAATCCAGGCTTTCTTCATGCTGGTTCTTAAATTTGTGTACAAGGTTTACAGAATGTATTTACATATTCACATTTTTGTCAATAGGCTTAAATTCCATAGAGCCCATTACATATTCAGTTGTGCTGTACAGTGAGGAAACGAAAATATGACAAAGTTGAGACCAATATAAATCAGTATTGAGGAGGGCCCTGCTCAAAGCATACACTCTAAAGCAGTAATCTAAAAACATGAAATGGGTAGGTTTAGAAAGTAGTTGTTTATGGAGAGTAGGACATGTTTGGGTATGAGGAACATGGGACATTTGATGAACAGGAAATAGAGTGATGCTAATATGAAAAATAGCCCAAGACTACATTAGCATGAGGTCAGGCCTTTTTTTTTGCCAAAAAAGTAAATTTTCTATTTTAAATAAATGGTCCAGGGGACAAAGTGTATAGCTGTTCACCTTAAAGGAAAACTGTACTTTTCTTGGATTTACATAACTGAATAAAATATGGTCACCGTATTGCATTACATTTTCAATTTCCTTTATAGTAAAGATTTAGCAAATTACTTCATAATCCTGTCATAATGCTGTTTGCTCAAATAAAGCTGTTTTTTGGCACCTTGAGCGCCTGGACCACTACATTATTTCAGAACTTATAACAATGACTGTCAGGGAGCTAAGAACGAGACAGACAATGTAAAACATTGTAGTTTTGGAGATACTGCAATGTTTACATTGCAGAGTTCAGACTGCCTTTGGTAGCTGTCTACCAGCAGCCACTAGAGGCGCTTCCTGCAGTTTTACAGAATTTAACTCCATAAAATGACGCTGGACGTACTCACACTGTGCATGAGGACTTCCAGTGTCTTCAAAATTCCCCTAGGAAAGCATTGAGTTAATGCTTTCCTATGGAGAAGGCCTAATGTAAGCGTGCCGCGCATATGCATTAAATTCATGGGTTGCCATAACGTTGCGTGATTAGTCCGATCCAGGCCGAGGCAATAAGAGGCTTTTTTTTAACCCTTTCATGGCTTGTGGAGGTGTACCAGGGGAAGATGGAGCAGAGGGGCACTTATAGTATTCCTTTGAATAAAATAGTGTCCCTTTAAATATTGGGATAAGTAAACGTAATATTACAATTCCTGAGAAGACGTATGCTAGCCTGTTGTGCTGTTTGTGGGATGAATGTGCTTTAAATATCTCCTGCATATTTTTTTTAAAGCATACCTTTACTTTGCCATTAGTCTATGCTTCATGAGTCTTACAGATAATATTTGCTGGCGAAGCTGTTATATATCAATATATCAGTGTGCTGACAAACTTTCAAAATGCCGGTAATTGTCATTAGTAATCTAGGTTTGCCACATGGAATATGTAACCTCATATAAACTAAAACAAAAGTAATATATGGTCTTAGACTAATAAAGCGACAGCAATTCACATAGCAGCATTTTTTTGTTTTGTTAAAATAAGTACAATTTCTACAAATTCCTGTTTGTCATCATATGCCACAATTAACAGTTATATGCAAAAAGTGTCTGTAGATAACTGCAAAGTTTAGTTAATATACATTACAGACATTTCATACTGTATGTGAATGAATGTGTCTGTATGTGTGTGTGTGTGTGTTTCTCTGTGTCTGTAATAGCAGAAGAAGAAGGCCCACATATATTAGAGGATAGTCCAGGTGGCACCAGTCCAAAGCAGGTCAACTCCACTGCAGCAAATAACCACAAGAAGGACCGGGCACAGAACTGGATCAAATTCAATTCAGGTTTATCGAACCATACTGTGCAATGTTAATTAATGCTTCAATAAACATGTTTGACGTTTATCCAATTCTGTACCAGCTCCCTTCATGGTTATTTGTCTATCTATGTATGTCTGTGAGCCAGACATTCTGCGTAAGTGTTTGTTCTGTTTGGGTGTTTGTATAGTCCTAATGTGTGTCTGCCCATGATCATTTGTTTGCATGTCTATTGATCTCTATATCCATTTTGCCTCTGTCTGGATATATTGGCACTTTTATAAATTAACCTTGTTATATTCCCCAGCTGTCAGTGGCTCAGTGGCACTTAACTCAAGAGGCGGGCAATTGCTCAGTCACCTGCCTTGCATAGACGTCTCAATGAGCTGCGTTGGGAAGTCTGTAATTGGACATCCACAGAAAGACTGGGCGGGGTTAGAAGGGGAGGGCTTATGAAGGCTGCAGACAAGAGATGTGCAGCTTCTGCAAGCAGTTTATAGATATTCGCTAATAAAAAAAAAAATACTTACTTAACCCCTTAAGGACACATGACATGTCTGACATGTCTGACATGTCATTATTCCATTTTATTCCAGAAGCTTGGTCCTTAAGGGGTTAAATGCACACAAAAAAAACCAAACAATAACTTGTAGTGGTTATAGTAATTTAACCTTTTAAGGATCTACAAACATCATAATTAATCTGTAAAGACCTAGCATATAAAATCCTATTCATTTTTCCACTAGCATTTTTCTGCAGTACTGCTAAGGCTATATATAAACGTACCCTGAGGCTACCTGATTGCTATAAAACAGAAAATCTTTAGCAGTTACATTTCTTAGTCAAATGCTTTCCCTGGAAATTTGTTATAGGTTAAAGTACTTGTGAATTCAAAACCAACTACTTATTATAATAGAAATCTCAACGTTTAGATATAAAAAAAAAAAAAAAAGAGAGAGAGAGAAAGGGGATGTAATCAACCTTGTTTCACCCGGATTCTGACATCTTGTTTGAGCAGGTTTACGGAATGTTCATTCTCACGGCCCTGCATAATTACTTGCAAGGTCTTCTGGCATGGATGGATTTCATAGGACTTCCACTAATTCAATTCTCCACCTCTTTATTCTAAAGCAGCAGAATGTATCCCAGCGGACCCTTCCGATTTGATGAATGATTGGGTCCTTTAAAAATGTCAACTAAGTGCAGCTCATATTATTTTAAAAAAGCAAGTTACTAATAGCAATATATACAAGAAATGTAGCCAGATCTCTCAGGTGGATGCAATACCCTTGCAGTTGGTAAACTTGCTGAGTAAACTGCTATGGTTAGATCATTATAGTCAGCACTAACACCAAATCAATGCAATGTTAGCACATAGCCAGGACACAAACAACAAACTCCACAACAACAAACACAATTATTCAACAAAACGAATGAAAATACTAGAGCTGCAAAAATATTCAGAAATATTATAACTTTGAATTTTGGTCTAAAATGCTCAATTCCCTAATCAGCTCTTCACAAGTCTGTGTTTACTTAAAGGTACACTATAGTCACCAGAACTATTACAGCTTAAAGGGACACTATAGTCACCTGAACAACTACAGCTTAATGTAGTTGTTCAGGTGAGATCTATAGCTCCCTGCAGGCAATCTAATGTAAACACTGTATTTTCAGAGAAAATTGATTGATAGGAATACCTCCAGTGGCCGTCACTGAGACGGCCACCAGAGGGACTTCCTATCATGTATGGCTCTAAAAAGGCCATGTACATATCAGACGTATTAAAATACGTCTGACAGGTGCAGTAGAGAGAAGGCACTGTGTGTGCGCCTTCTCTCTCCTGCCTGTCAGCAGAGGAGAGGGGGCGGGCAGAGACCGCGAGCTGAGCTGTCAGGCAGCTCAGCTCGCGGCCGCGCACACCACATGCATGCACGGTTGTACGCTCAGGACTTCAGAGGGCGGCATGAATGCCGCCCTCTGAAGTATGTGCGGCAAAACTGCGCATGCGCACAAGGGAGCAATGACCCTTCCAAATGGAAGCGTCTGATTGCTCCCTGCTCGCGCCTGCCTATTTCGTCATTTTGACAAAATAGGGGGCGCGGCTTCACGAGGTTCCCGGCGCTGGAACCAGGTAAGTAAAACTGGTTGGCTGGAGAGTCCCTTTAAGAGAGAGAAAAGGCAGTATTTACATTGCTGCCTAGTAACACCTCCAGGTAGTGTCTCTGTGTGGGTGTGCTGGGGATGAAGTGTGTCTGTGTGTGTGCTGGGAGTGAAGTGTGTGCCTATGTGTGTACTGGGGATGTAGTATGTGTCTGTGTGTGTGTGTGTGTGCTGGGGATGTAGCTTGTGTCTGTGTGTGCACTGCAGCCAATACACTAACCTATACACTGTGTCTGTGTATATTCATGTGTGTCAGTGTTTGTATCGGTTTGTCTATGTATCTGCATGTGTGGCAGTGTGTCTGTTCAACTGTATGTGTGTCATGTATCAAAAACTGACACACATACAGATGTACAGACAAACTGATACGCCCGCAGATACAGACACTGCCACATACAGATACACTGCCACACATGCAGTTACACAGATATACAGACACACACATAAAACACATACAGTATACACAAACTACACACATGCAGACACACACACACACACACACACACACTACAAACATTACACATACAAACACAGATACCCACACATTACACACACACAAACATACACACATTAAAAAAATTAAGCCACCAAACATACCCACTGCCAAACACACATATACAAACATACACACTACCAGAAACAAATGTACCTGCTCCCAAACACACATACAAACATACCCACTGCCAAACAGAAACATACCCACTCACACATGCAAACATGCCCACTCCAAGACACAAACATAGAAAAATACCCCATCCCTGAGGCACACATACAAACAGACCCCATGATCAGATACACAGATATAAAATGCAAATAAAATGTATATGAACAATATATACACCCTGTTCCAAATTATTATGCAAATGATATTTATATTGGCAGAACTCTTCCTCAATGTGCCTTTATCTGCACAAACCCGTCTGTGCTCTGAATCAGCCACAAATATCTTAATAATGTGATGATCACGCTTAAGTTTTCGTGCAATATCTAATGTTTTCATACCTCGTCCAAGGCTTTGAACTATTTCACTCTTTTCGGCAGCAGAGAGATCCTTTTTCTTCCCCATATTGAATGAAAATGGTGCTCTGCTTAATAATGTGGAACATTAGTAGTTTTTCCTTAAATTGGGCTCACCTGGCAATCTAATTATCACAGGTGTCTGAGATTGTTTTCAGTGATCAAAAGAGCCCTGAGGGGGGCGGGGCCTGGCCGCCATGCTGAGAGGAAGCACAGAGGAATAGCTCCTTAAAACTTCCCAAGTTTTTGGCTCTAAAACCTAGCAAAATTCTTATTAAAAGCCTGATACCTACACCCCAGCAAAAGAAGCAACCCTGGTCCCGAGGAGAGGCTTGCCGCGAGGTTCTAGTCCCTCGGTGGGGCGCTCCCAGCTGAACGCGATGGAGACCGCCCGGGCGGTGAGTGGGGTGGACGGCCGCCACCCAGCTATCCTGCCCACCAGCGGTAAGGCAGAAATGCACGGCTAGGCGGACCTGGCCCTGTTCCCCCCCCTATGGGCCGGCGGGGGTGATCCCGGTCCCCACCCTGTGACCCAGCGTAATGCC